AGGAAATAAAAAATTGCATGCATTTTATTTCTACTGCAAATACGCGTTTCGTCGATTAGTGCACATGAATCCAGCATCATAACAGCTAATCAATATATTCCAAAGAATGAGGATCGAAAATAAGTAGCTGCTTCTCTCTTCAATATTATTGAAAGAAATTGGAAGGACAACGTTGGTGTAAACTTGACTTAGGGCAAGTGCCATTTGAAGTTAATGACACTATGTACACAAATATAATCAAGTCCTTCTGGGGCTATAAACATGATTAATACATGCATATAATATTTAATAAAAAATTCCATATGAAACCATACTAAGTATTGTTTTAAGCGTAATTGGTTACAGGAGGATGGCACTCTTTGAAAGTCCTCCAACCCAAGCTTATACCTACATCATTAGTGATGGTTTCGCGAAAGTCGTAGGAATTTAGCAATTCCATGTTCGTCGTCATACTAATCATCATCTGAGGTAGATTCACTTGGTTTCAGGAGGATGACACTCTTAGAAAGCCGACTGACGTAAGGTAATACTTGAATCCTTAGTGATGGTTTAGCGAACGTCGTCGGATTTTCGCAATTCCGTGTTCATCCTCCCTCGAATCTACGTCATTGGCAGAAATGCTTTTGGTTACAGGAGGATGCCATTCTTAGAAAGTCGAACGTCCGCAGCTGATACCAATATCCTTAGTGATGGTTTCGCAAACGTCGACGGATGTTCGTAACACCGTGTTCATCCTCCTTCGAATCGTTATCGGAGGCAGATGCTCTTGGTTTCAGGATGATGGCCCTTTTATTTAGTCATTGTCGGATTCGGGCAATTCCGTGTTCATCCTCCTTCGAATCGTCACTTGAGGCAGATCCTCTTAGTTTCAGGAGGATGGCATTATTAAAATTTCGACTGACACAGCTAATACTTGCATCCTTAGTGATGGTTTCGCGAACGTTGTGGGATTCGGGCAATTCCGTGTTGATCCTCCTTCGAATCGGCGCCGGTGGTAGATGCTCTTGGTTTCCAGAGAATGGCACTCTTATAATGTCGACTGTCCCAGCTGATACTTGCATCCGTAGTAATGGTTTCACGAACGTCCACGGATTTTCGCAATTCCGTGTTCCTCCTCCATCGAATCGACTTACGAAGCAGATGCTCTTGTTTTCAGGAGAAAGGCACTCTTAGAAAGCGAACGTCCGCTGCTGATACCCGTGTTAGGTGCGACAATTTCGCGAACGTCGACGGATTTTCTCAATTCCATGTTCCTCCTCCGGCGAATCGACATCGGAAGCAGATCCTTTCGGTTCCAGGAGGATGGCACTCTTAGAAAGTCGAAAGTCCGCTTCTGATACCTATATCCTTAGTGATGGTTTCGCGAACGTCGACAGATTTTCGCATTTCCGTGTTCCTCCTCCTGCGAATCGACGCCGCTGGAAGATGCTCTTGGTTTGAGGAGGATGGCACTCATAAAATGTCGACTGTCCCAGCTGATACTTGCATCCTCAGTGATGGATACGCGAACTTTGTGGGATTCGGGCAATTCCGTGTTGATCCTCCTGCGAATCGACATCGGAAGCAGATCCTTTCGGTTTCAGGAGGATCGCACTCTTAGAATGTCGACTGACCCAGCTGATACTTGCATCCGTAGTGGTGGTTTCGCGAACGTCGAAGGATTTACCCAATTCCGTGTTCCTCCTGTGAATCGACTTCGGAAGCAGATGCTCGTGGTTTTAGGAGGATGGTACTCTTAGAATGTCGAACTTCCGCTGCTGATACCAGTGGTAGGTGCGACAGTTTCGCGAATGTAGACGGATTTCCTCATTTCCGTGTTCCTCCTCCTGCGAATCGACATCGGAAGCAGATCCTTTCGGTTCCAGGAGGATGGCACTCTTAGAAAGTCGACTGACCCAGCTGATAGTTGCATCCGTCGTGATGGTTTCGCGAACGTCGACGGATTTGCGCATTTCCGTGTTCCTCCTTCTGCGAATCGACTTCGGAAGCAAATGCTCTTGGTTTCAAGACGATGGCACTCTTAGAAAGTCAACTGACCCAGCTGATACATGCATCCGTAGTGATGGTTTCGCGAACGTCGAAGGATTTACGCAATTCCGTGTTCCTCCTCCTGCGAATCGACATCAGAAGTAGATGCTCTTGGTTTGTGGAGGATGGCACTCTTAGATTGTCGACTGTCCCAGCTGATCCTTGCATCCGTAGTGATGGTTTCGCGAAACTCGAAGGATTTTCGCAATTCCGTGTTCCTCCTCCTGCGAATCGACATCAGAAATAGATGCTCTTGGTTTCAGGAGGCTGGCACACTTCGAAAGTCGAACTTCCGCTGCTGATACCTGTATCCGTAGTGATGGTTTGCCAACGTCGACGGAGTTTCGCAATTCGGTGTTGATCCTCATTTGAATCGAAGCCGGTGGTAGATGCTCTTGGTTTCAGTAGGATGTCACTCATAATATCGACTGAACCCTGCTATTACCCGTGTTAGGTGCGTCAGTTTCGCGAACGTCGACGGACTTTCGCAATTCCGTGTTGATCCTCCTTCGAATCGACTTCGGAAGCAGATGGTCTTGGTTTCAGGAGGATGGCACTCTTAGAATGTCGACTGTCCCAGCTGATACTTGCATCCGTAGTGATGGTTTCGCGAACGTCGACGTTCTTCCGACGACGTTCTTCCGAACGACGGTGTTCATCCTATTACGCATCGACATCGGAGGCAGGAGAACTTTTTTTCAGTTTTTTTGGGCAATCTATGGTTTAACATGAACTACACACAGACCTGGAGTTTGACATTTGGAGTTTGACATTTTAAAATTTGACATTTTAAGAATTGACAAATCAAAGGTTTAAATAAACAAGTAATTGAATTATATCATATTAAGAACATATCATGGATAACATTACTGTACATAATCATCGGCCTCCATTTTTCCCACATTTGAAAATGATTTTCAGGCACAGAAGCGTAATCGTTGCATACCTTTCTGCTTGAAATTAGAACTTGATTTTCTTTAGAAACACCTTAATCATTGGATTAGTTTTATTTAGGGAGCAGCAGTATATATAGTATTTTTCGTAACATAGTGTCGTTTTCCAAATTCTATTTTCATAGGGGCATCCAAACAGGATTGTCTTGCAGCTCAATATTTTTGTATCTCTTGATGAAGGAATTTTATCTCTAGTATGATTTATCGTGTCATTCCAAAATGTCTGTACTAACTTACATTTAATAAATTGATGCATCATCGACCCAGTTTCTTTTTTGCATAAGGAGCACCAGGAATCGTTGGAAATCTTTATTTTCATTAGGACACTTTTCGTTGGCAAAATTCTATTGATCAGTTTCATTTGGAACCACCTGATTCTCTTCTCCTTAATTTTTATTGGCATGGTCCAAGTGAAGCTGCATTCCTCTTCTGTTATACTTGTTCTCAATTTCTTGTTTTAATTTTCTTCCAAATATTTGTAGGTGTTTTCTTGATATTTCTAAGATATTTTTCAATGGACTTCACCCCTTTCGAGAATTCCAAAATTTCCTTAATGAGCGTATGTCTACTTGGGAAGGTTTGATTTCCATTTTCATTCATATTCCTCCGTCTTGAACCTTTTTTATTAGCTACTATTAAGCTGTTAAATTGGAGAAAATTACTGTGAATGTGAGGGTAACGATATGTGAATTCTTGAAAAGTATAGAATGGGGAACTTTCTTCATTGAAGAGATCTCTCACTGTTTTAACTCCAGCTTGATACCATTTTTTTGCATAATTCCAGAAAATTTTTTCCCTCCACGTTTTCGCTGAAATTTAATTCAGGCATTTGCGACAAATCCCTATGAAATTTTATACCAAGTAAGGTGAAATGATCTGTCCAGTCCAATGATTTCAACTCAGGAGGGGTTTGTTGTAAGTCAGTCTTACTTCCTATCCATATCGCCTTACTTTTTGAAAGGTTTATTTTTAATCCCGACATTTCGTAAAAAGTATCAATAGCAGACGATATTTCCATAATACTATCTTTTTTTCCGTCCAGAATAAGAGTTGTGTCATCTGCGAATTGTTGTAGTTTAGGATAGATCAGTTCACCTAATTTCAAGGCGGAAATCCTTTGATTTTGTCGGATGATACATGCAAATATTTCTGCACATAGCAAAAATAGGTAAGGGGAGAGGGGATCACCTTGTCTGCATCCTTTTTGTACTGGAAAAAAGTTTGATATCTTTTCATTTTGGCAGACACAAGCTACCAAGTTGGAATACAAAATTTTCACCCATTTTCTGATTGATTGAACATAGTGAACATGATTGAACATAGTGAACACTCACCAAGTAGCCAGAAGCTTCTCGAATAAATCCCATAACGAATAAATCCCATAACCAAGATGCTCTCAAAACAAACGAATTATGGGTGCTTCCAGGCCATCTGGCAACGATGTTACTGAAAATCATATCAGCATTGCAAACTGCTTGTTCGTTGATGGAATGCCACCCTTTGCGGTTAACATAAAGGGGTTCGTCTTCCCCCGAGGGGGCTCTGATGGGAACATGGGTGCAATCAATAGTACCAATCACTTTCGGGAAGCTGGCGATGCTAAAAAATCCAGCTTGTGTCTTGACGACATTTTCACCTGACGGAAATTGCACCCACTTTCTCATATACACATTACTCAAGGCGTCCACTACATCCCAGAGCACTCGGGATGCTGTCGGCTGACTGAATCCACTAAGAGAAGCGAAAGATCTTTGAAACACTCCAATACCGAAGTAGTAAAGTGCTCCACATATTTGATGCAGAGGTGGGAGAGATTGACTTCGTGCAGTGTGCCGTTGTAGATGATGTAAAAGATCCCCAGTGATTTCAAGGATGATTTGCTTCGGAAACCTGTAGTTCCTCAAGTCGTCTTCCGACGCTTGGAGGGGGTCGTGTCGATCTCGAAAAGCTCTTTCTCTTCGGAGAGCACGTCGATAAATTTCTGAGAGAACTAAGTCTGGGTCGGTCAAATGTATGGGTATGGGTATGGGTATACATATATGGGTATGGGTTCGGGTATGGGTATACATATATGGGTATGGGTTCGGGTATGGGTATACATATATGGGTATGGGTAGAGGTATGGGTCCCATGTCCATGGGGACATGGGACCCTTGAGTCATGCTGCCAGCGTGACAAGCACGTGGTGTTTCACTCAGCGATTGGTTATGATTTGGTTGACTCATTATCATAGCTACGAAGTTTCGTGAATACCGACGGAGTTCGTAAGAATGAAACGAGGACTTACGAAGTTTCGTGAATACCAAAGATACGAAGTTCGTACGGACTTCGTAAGAATATCTCATTCTTACGAAGTTTTCGTGAATACGGCCCCTGGACGCATAATCTCGTTTTGCTTTTACCTTGCAATGGAAAAAAAAATATTTCCAGCTGTGCTAATCGAAGAATTAAGTAGCAAATATTAATTTGAGAACTCTGATTTTAAACTGGGTAGGAATTGCCTACCCTGACGAGACGCCACTGATGTACATTATCGGAGTTGCTTATGCATATTTGAAAGAGCTAATGTGAGTTAGCTAATGTGACTTAACTTTTTTTTTTAATGCAGTGCCTCAATTGATCATAAATATCCATTGGTTAATACAGCTTAAGGCTAATGCTGGCATTATTTTATGCAATCCACCCTGGGAAAATTAGACTCTCATTGTTCCTGAACCCATCCCTCTTGAGCTTTTCCTCATGTCGAGGACATTGCTGACTCAAGAGAAGTTGACAATCTATCGAGATCTGAAAAACAGAATTGTCGCAGCGATCCATAGTGCCCGTGTGGGATTGCAATAACAGGTTTTAAAATGTTTTAGTTCCACTTCGTTATTGTTTTAATCGTTTAGTTTGAGGCGTAATATTAGAGAGATATTAATTTTTCAAATGTTTCCAGACCTTTTGGTATTTGTCTGCACAAAAAGGTGATATTTTCTGGTATTTTCACTTTTCAGTTGAACTTGCCTTACCTCCTCTGATGGTCTCAGAATTTGCACTGCATCTTAATCAGGACATTAAACTTGCATTCCCCGCCCAAAAATACATTTTATGCAAGTTTCACACAATGTTCTGCATGAAGGCATCTTCAAGGGAAAATCTCGTCGGAAGGGAATGCCAGCAGTACGAGAGCTGTAGCTTTCATGAAGAAAATGTTACCCATTCTGATACTGACCATACATATGATACAAAAAAGTTTACACCCTTCGGAATATAATGGAAACTGGATCGATTCTCTTTGGATTCTCTTCCATCGACACAGCGGAAGTGCGAATGAGGCCTTTCACTCTCATCGACACACGTGAAACCAATGCAACATCACGAACGAGTCCAATATTAGTGACCTTGGTTACCGATCTTGTGTTTCTGGGAAGGTCAGCTCTCACCATCAAGGGAGAGAGGAACTTCGGGCGAAGCTCCAGCGCCCCCCAGCGAAGATACCCAGTTGGCACCTGACGTGGTCTTCCCTCATCGGGTTAATCTAACATTCCTGGAATCACCCTGGCGATCTGCGCGAGGTTATCAGCCCCTACTGAGAAAAATGGAAATGGATATAGTGGACTACCACTTCCCTGGTGGGTTCCATGGTTAGAGATTTGCCATAGGCTTAAGCCCTAACAGGCGTTTTAAGACTATCTTGGAGTCTCATGAGCTTAGGCTTGGCAAAGAAGGCCTAGGTCTATAGGGGCTATGATGGATGTAGCTCCATTAGCTGTGTCATTGCTTCCATTCGATATGCCAGATATATTTGTCAGTGGGTCTTGAAAGCTGTTCAGCTTTGTTCTTGATAGCAGTCTCATAGGAGTGTGTTTTGTGAGATGACTTGAATGTATTTGGGATATGCTTGTATCTGATATCATTGACTAGGCATAGTTTACATTTCATTCAGCCCTGGAAGTTCTCCAGAAATTCTTTGTAAAAGTCTCACATTTGTGAGAAGAATCATGCATGCACTTTGGCATAAATCTTTCTCCAAGATCTTCTTGAGGCCTTCCAGGGATAGATAGAATCTACCCACAGGCCAGCACCAGACAGTTTGATAAAGGACAGACTCGCATCAGCTTCTTGAGTTCTGCTGCTGATCTTTTAGCATGAAATCGTTGTTCTATCCTCTGCTTTGTTTTTGCATTTGCTTTCCTCATCTCACCTCTTAAATAGGCTTTTTTCATTGTGTGGTGACCAGGGTCTTTAAAAATATTACATTGAAATCATGATATCTTTTCATTAGTAGATTCAATGTTCAGCATGCTGTTGAAACTCCTCAGATGATTTATGTGCATGCTTCTTTAGGTTTAGAAAAATACAAACACTTGATGAACCAATGTAGCATGCAGATTGATTTGAAGCAGTGTTTGCATTGTTCCTATTATATTCTTGGGGTAAATTTAATCAAATCTCTTAATGGTGGGGATGAAATCATCATTTGTTGGTCTGAAAGCTGCAGATCTGATTATCATAAAAATCTGATTGACAGAAGAACATGGGATCTCCACTGGAGTGCTGTTTTCCCCACCTTACTCCTTCAAATAAGAAAATCCTTTTCCACCAAAGTGAGGCTGTTGACACTTTTCAGGACACTTCTCCATAGGACACTTTTCTGTGTCCTATGGCCACAGAAGTCCAGTGAATTCAAGTATTCACTATTGGAACATATACTTATTCTGTTCGGAATATATTCTGTTTAATGGATTTCATTGAAACAGCGTTAAGCCACTCACCTGCCCCAAAGCCCAGTCAAAATTTCCAACTGAATTTTCTTGTTGGATCCAGGTTGGTCATGCAGACTGGTTCCATGCTGGAACCTGAAGGAAAATTGGACAGGAATGTGACTGGAACCAGTCTGGTTTCAGGCTTTAAACCAGTTGGGTTCCAGTTATAAACCAGTTGGAACCAGAGTGGTTCCAGGTTTCAGACTCCAATCCATTTAAAAACCAGTAAGAAAAAGCAATTACATTTATTTTATTACAAGTACAACAAATGGAGGATACAGGAAATTATACAATGTCTCTTGTCTTGTGCGTCCTTGCTGTGGCTTCTGATGCTATTAAAAGCATCCTCTGGGACTAGAACACCCTGACCTATTTTCACATGTTGAACCTACAACAAACCACATTTGTGGTGGGATAAATTAAATTGAGGAAATGAAGTTAAGTTTTGTAAATGGAACATTCAAGTATGGGTTATGTCATTTTTAAACATTCAGCTTGAATGTTTAAAAATGACATAACCTTACCAATGACTTCTCCTTACCAATTGGCCATCATTCACAGGAACTTCAATAATGTTCCCATGAGGCATTGCCTGCACATTTGGTACAGGGTCTACACCTGCTGGCCGATACAGAATATTTGGAGCGCAAAAGTGCTTTCATCACCAAATTAATTTCAGTCTCAGCCTCACCCCCCTAAGCAGCTGTATTTTGCAGATGCATTAATGGCTTACATGGATGCAATAATATTTCCAAAAATTTGCTTACTATTCCCATTACACATGAAATGCATGCTGGATCCAGACTGGTCCTAACTAGTTCCAGCATGGTCCAAGCATTAAATGCTTTGGGCTGGAAAATACTCTGGAGTTTGTGAACATAGCTTGCCCCTTTGCATAACTTAGCTCTGTAATTGACTGGTTCTACAGGAACTACCTATTTTTCACATATCTTGCTCACTTGGGATCCAAACAAGAACTGGGAGAATGTCAGTGTGGCTCAAGTATGGTATAATGCTGAGTCTAAAAATGATAGGAAATTCAAGAAATACCCTACATTTATGGTTTTAGGCTTGCCATGTTGCAGTGTATTCCTCATCCACTGTGTTGGATTGAATTAGTATTACTGGACTAATTGCCTCTGCACTTCATTTGCATCCAGGATCCAGGATGGACCATGCTGGTTCCAGTTGGAGCAAAGAATGCTACGCTCTGAGCTGTGTGTCCCTAAGATGTCCAAATATTCATATGTTTAACATTGATAAAAGCAATTTTTTTTACAAACTGTAATTTCTTATTGTAACCTTAATGAATGTGTCATCGTGCTTCCATATTGCTGCTTGAGAAAATGTAGAGAAAGTGCACCAGCTGATCTAGCATATCCAGCTGGAAGACCTGTCCAGTCTGACCAGTTACTTCCAGCCTGGAATTTTTGATAGGGGGTGGGGGGAAGTAGTGTATTCCCAGAGTAAGCACATGGACCAAATTGAGTCTCCCATGGCTATTCTTGTTTGCTGATGTTACAGGGGGAGGGTGTAGATGGGAGGATGGGTTAACTTGTGATCCAGAGTTAGTGTGCAGTCATGGGCCTTGAGCCATATGCAGCCTGTATCTTATCATATTGTAATTATCTTAACTATCTCCAAAAGTTACCAAATGCCCAAGATGAAATGTTTTCCAGAGGTAGTCATATGTCTTGTCTACTATTCACCCAATTCTTTTCAAAATCAAAGGGGTTCTTATTGATAATGTGAGGTTGTAGACCACCTTACTAAATGATAACTTTTAGTATTCACCTGTATGTATCAATCCCAATGGAAAGGACTGGAAATGAACTAAAAAATGAGGCTAAGATGAGTTCCCCAGCTTTAATTAGGGCAGAAGTTTCAAGGAGGAGACAGAATTGGGATATGAGAGTAAGATATTTCAGCCTCACACTTGTGACCTCATACCAGAGTAACCAGGGGTGCAATGAACCTAATATTTGGTGTGGGCTAGTTTTTTTTATTACCATTGTTGATAGGTACACCAAATTTCATCCAAATCAGTGGTCACTGGAAAAATGTCCTCCAAGTGGGATAATTTGACACAGAATGACCCACCCACATTACTATCTAATGCATGGTATTTAGAGTGTCCCAAAATTATTGAATAGATATTTTTTTAAATTTTGTTTCAAAGTCCACTTCTAGGCCATGCCAGCCCAAAACCTGAATTTTTGCAAAGTGAAAGCCCAACTCTCAGTTTCTTCATTAATTTATTCAACATCTTTATCAATGATGTGATTGATGTGACCAAGAAGGCAGGAAAAACCTCGGTGTAATGTGACTGGGGGAGTTTAATTCAGTGATGCGTAAGCAATGCAAGTTCCATGAGGTGTTTCTTCTGATGATAGCTATCAGAAGATGGCACAAGCAATTTCGAGACAATGGCAAATGCAACTCACAATTTGTATGCCTGGCTGGCTGGCTCTGGAGGCTTCTTGCAAGTGTCATGACTCTGGTTCACATCAGTGAATGATGACCTAGGCCTACTTGCTTCTTCTGCTGAATGATTATTCTAAACTGTTTTAAAATGTCTCATATTCCATAGGAGGAGAAATGACAGACTCATTATGTGATGTGCAGGGTGAAGTCTTGTTGAACCACCCAAGATGTCTTCTTAGTCCCTTTTATCTCTGTCTGTCATGCTCATGTTTTAGAATACCACTCCTTATTCAACACAGGAATGATAAAAAAAAAAGGAATAAGCTATGGGTCTCACTGTGTGCAATATCAACACCTATTAAAAGTATTATGGTGGGCATTATGGTGAGCTGTACATGCCCCAGCTCTGCAAGAGGATTTGTGTGATGTCATCTTTCAGAGTTTGATACTCTGATTTAATAGTTACTGAAAGTGAGTCCCTTGACTGGGGGTCTAGGAAATTGTACACCCATCAGTTCAAAAAACTAGGTTCTCTGTGAATCTATAGCATTCATGTGTTCATTCCTTATGGTCTTATATTTCAGATGATCCAGCAGACTGGCTAAGAGAGCAATTGAAATGGGCATTTCTCCTGATCAGGGATCATCTGGAAGCTTTTTTGTCAAGAATCCTCAAGGGGTGAGGCAATCATAGGACTGTAAGCCTTTATTTTCTTAGTTATCGTCGTTCGTCTGCGAATGTTTGACTCTTCTGCAGTTATAAACTTAAAAAATAATGCGTGGATGCATCATTTCCCACACCTCCCCTCTCCTCTTACAAACCCGGGAACCGAGCGTCTATGTTCCCGGCGAGGAAAGGTGTATACCCAATAAAGCCTGGGTTGGGCAATCGAACCCCAACCTCCCGAACGGCACGCGGACGCTCTGCCGAATAGGCCGTTTCCGGACAGGCATCTTAAAAAGACGGATACTTGTGCAACGGCACATATATCCAAGGTTGTAAAAAAACAAAGCCCCTGGGCAAAGAGGATCGACGCCAGACTTGTCTAGCTAGCTATAATTTCTTGCATTTTTTCTCCCACCAGCATCCTGCCCTCGCATCGTGCGTTTTACTGAAAACCCTTGGATGAGTAGACATGCGTGTGAACGCGTGCGTCTGCCTACCTGCCCAAGCATTGACGCATGACACACCCTTTAACGTGCAAGAAGCTCAACTTTTTCATGTTTAAATGTTGCATGTTCATAGCCTGTGTATCACCGACGAAGTCAAAATGAAAAAGACCTTCATAGTCCGATGACGTAGTCGATAGATTTTGACGGCATTTGGACGCACTTGGCGAAATTCCTGTCCTATCTCAGCTATGTCCAATGTCAATATTTACGTAACTACTACCTAATACGGACGTTCCGAATTGAACTCTCCCATTTCCACAGTAAAGCCTTTCGTTTTGTGAAAACCCCTGGATGTAGTGCATGTGCGTCTGCCCAGTAATGTTCAAGCATGGACGCGAGCCACGCAAAGTGTGAAGTGCCCTTATATGTTTTCATTTCTTTCGGGAATTGGATTTTATTTTATTTTACTCTGCTTATACATTTCATTGTCGATCGATTACATGCCCTCGCATTCGTCAATATTGACATTGGACATAGCTGAGATAGGGTAAACAGATCCAGACCACTCGATCTTGATAAAAATGCAACATCACATTCATTCTCCCAGCCCTCCTCGTGAGAGGCTTTCTACTCTAAGTTGGCTACTGCCTCTTAAAAGAGACGGATAACTTGTGCAGCAGCATACCTATCCTAATGTTGTCGAGAAAAAAAAAAAAGAACCCCTGGGCAGGGGACGAACTCAGACTCGCATGTGTGCATTTCAGCCAGCTATACCATAGAGAGTGCAACCAGAGGCTTCCACTCCGCTCGAATCCCATTCATTGACAGGGTCACAATATACAGTAGATGTCGCTGTCGATCCTCCACCTTGCGTGCGCACATCAACAACCCTCCATGGCTGAACAGCGGACTCAACGAGACACGCGTGGTACGTTGAGCTTCGAATCCCCGAACGAGTCGATTCCCGATTCCGCTGCCACGAAGCACGCCTCATTGAAGTGTCGCCTGTAGTTACACTCTCTACTCTAATGGCAATACTGCGCTTGCTTCCACTTGGGATTCCTCTTGCCGTCTCATCGTGAATGATGCATTGTGAGTTATGACAGCTCCTAATTTTTACGTATCGTTTGAGTTCAGTCTGGAGTAATACGATTGGATCGGCACTCCGAGATTTATTCAGTCGCGCAGAGGGGTACAGTGGACGTAAAGGGGTTCACAACTGTCTCGACCGGGGCATCGGTTGTCGACTTGATCTCGACTGTAAAATTGTACTCCCATCGCTTACACTCTGCAATGCGGATTGGCATTCGAGCGTTCATGCCCTTCACCAGCCAAAATATTGAAAGACAAATATTCCAAGGGAGAAAGTTCCAGATGGCCAAGGGTTATTGGTAGAGCGGTATAGTTGAACTAGGTCCCACGGGTTACGCGAAGTGTTTGCAATATGGAACTCTCTGACGTCGCGTGGTGTATTTTGCTATTTGTAGCACTTTTCTCGAATATGCTTGGTTTTAGGGCTATGAGTTTTCGTAGCGACGAAAAGGTCCAAAATCACATGCATAATCATCTGTCTTGTAGGTAAAATGGTAGTCAGAAAACTGTTTTCGAAAGATATGACTACTTGGTAAGATAGTCTCGTGACCTCTGAAATTAGCTCTTGACCCCTCATGCGAAAGATAAGTGCATGGTTTTTTGGTTGTTCGAGGACGTTTACGTTTGTGAGGAAATTCTCGGAGAGACAGATGGCCCGCGAACGTCTGCCAACAACTAAATTTATAAAGCTTTGAGCTACCTGGGAAGCTATTCCCTGTGCTTACGCTAGGCATACTAGTGGCAAAATGCTTCGCATTTCTCTCAAGTGCTTTGTACATATTGGATAATCTTTCGTACCTCTTCCTGCGATGAGATGGCAGGTGGGTGTACGAAACAATGCAATGCGTATGGATTATGTTGAAAGACGTGAGAACTAGTTACAACTTGTTCAAAACGCCTCTGTTGCCCCTTCCGTCTCTGTGGCCATCGATGGCATTATTCGGAAGGAGGCTTCTAACTACTTGAATACCATTAACCTTTTGCACTCATCTGTTGAAGTATTTGTGAGAATAATTCCAAGGACAACTGACTTCCTACAGAGTTTAAATGTGATGTCCAATTTGAGTGGACGCAGGGTCTGAAAGGGTTAGGCGGCTTCCAACTAGACCTATTTGAATCAGTATGTGGTTTTGTTGCTTTCTTCTTAGACCACGTACGCAACGGCCTAACGCCTAGCACTAGTTTATCCCATTAAACTCTTTCTTGTCCATACTCCGTCTGGCATAAGCACATAGCATGTAGACCATTTCTGAAACTGCAATGCTTACATGAAATGTAAAAAAATGGCCAATGGTTCTGGGATCAAAAGGGGAGGAAAAATTGAAATACACAATTTATATAGATGATACTAGACAAATATTAATTCATAACATCGCCCATTAATAATTTACAATTAATGTAACTGCAGTAAAAAGGACGCGAACAATACTGAAACTCTGAAAAACTTTCCTAATCGCACATTAAACAAACTCAACATAGGTATTTTATTTTGGAGCCACTCCGAAGAAGCAGTCACGAAAGACGTGATTGGCACTGATTCGAGACGAGGCTTCTACATTCCTTGATGAGGTTCCGGACCTCCCACTTGGGAATCGCCTTTGCCGTTCCAGCAACACTGGCATCTGTTGAAAGGAAAAGCAAAATGTGGGAAGGATCCGAGTGAAGAGACAGTAGGTAATGTGACCATGCTTTCCTTTGATGCATTTCTCCATGTTGCTTGGCAATGCTAAATTTGAAGAGACATTTCATGGAAGAAATTCCCCTGTTGGGTAATAAATTCTCTTTTAAAATCTTTGAAAAAGCAGCTAATGCCTTTACTTATGCGACTGCCCGCCAGCCAAAGCTTTTCATATTCTAACTGTATTTATTGAGAGTATCATGAATCTGCATGTGTGTTACTAACTTGTGATCGTAACTAGTTTTCCATTCTAGGAGTAATTAGTCATAATTGCTCTTAGTTTTTATTATTAATAATTCCATTGCTGTTGGGTGTGATTCGCTTATACGCGTTACATGTATTAAAGTGTGTCGACAGCTTCATCCGCGGGGGGACGGCAGGAGGAATGAGTGCAGGGAAAGACAAATCCCAAGAAGTAGACTACGGAGTGACGAGTTTGACTTCGTCCCATGCCCAAGGGGCTGCATTTTTTACATCCGTACGTATCCGTTTTTTTTCACTTGCTTCTATTCAACCGGCGGAAACGGCCTATTCAACAGAGCGGCCGCGTGTGGTACAGCTCCGTTGGGGTTCGATTCCCCAACCTATGCTTTATTGGGTACACACTTTCCACTCCTCGCGGGGAGCATAGAAGCTGGATTCCCGGGTTTGTAAGAGGAGAAGGGAGGTGTGGGATAGTAATGCACCATGCATTATTTTTTAAGTTTACTTAATTGCGAAGTAGATTCATAATTTTCTTCCCTTTGCACTTAGGTGTAATAAAGCCTCTCAGAGCCTATTCGTCTCTTAGAGTCGGTTTTCGACTTCTTTCGCGCTTCCAAAACCACGAATTCAATAATCTGGGAATTGTAAGATCAACGTCATTAAGTTCTTTGAAAACTCAAGGTTCGTGCACCTGTTACCTAATTCAACCGCCCAAGTTAGCAACAACGTTCCATGATTCCCACGGGACTTCACTCCACTAACTTTCCTGAAATGTACTTGTATCATTCCAAATTTTCACATTTAAAACTTTAAGTATTTTTAGTTTAACACGGTAGCCTCTTTGACGCCTTAACCCTTTCCATGGTAGCATCTCCATTTGCAAGTCATTAAAAGCTTGTAGCAGCATGTGCAGCAAAGATTTAATGGAAAACAGAAGTCCAATTGAAAGAGCGAACTGTCATCCAGTCTGGGATATAACAAAGAGGCTCAGTTACAAGCAAGTTTTGGCTTTTTCCTTGCATGTATCTAGCAATGCCGTCACCCGTCATGCACAACATTTCCTTGGAGAATATTTCATTTTGTTCGATGAGGCGAGAGCGGAGACCCGTGTGGGGCGCTCGGTGGGACCGTCAATGGACGAGGGAATGCGCAGGAGCAAAGCCGGACTGTAAAAAGCCGGCTGCTCCTGTCCCTCCGCCTTAAAGCTGCTGCACGTATCGTCCATCTCTGTGATCTGTCTTCAGACACTAAGGACCTTTGCTACTTGAAAATATCGTCGTCTGGTTACCGTCATGCCCGCAATTCCTCTCCTCTTCATCTGAGAGTCAGGACGTTTAACTTATTTTATTGGTGGGAAGCGCCGGATCTGTTTATTATATCTTTCTATCTCGGCACTTTCCGAAACTCATGCCACAAAGTCTGAACATTAGTGTGCACTTTGCAAAATTAAGGTGAATCACATTATATGATTAGAACGTATTTTATGATGTGTGCTTAAAAAAGCCACGAGTCTCCCTGCTTAATCGATCACGCTGAAACGAAATGATTTGAGTAAATGTAATTTGTTGTCGTGTGTTTCCATGTCCTCAAAGAATGAATATGTTCAATATACCTATTATCACGAGAGCAATCGCGAATCAAATAGGCATTAGGGTTACCAGGACCTGACCACTGGCTTTTTCCCCCCATGAAAGAATCAGGTCCATCATTCGACTAAATTTTCCTGTAATTAGGGGTTATCTCCAGTTTCTCAAGCTGTCTCGATGGAGATATCTGCGGGCATCACTGCTTCCGAAGTTGAACGATATCAGCAGGGATGTCTGTGATACACTTCATCGATCGGACACCGCTAACCATAGTATCTACCTCACCTCGTGCCGTGAACTCTGCAATATTTTTTTCTAAATTAACAGGAGAATAAGAGAGATATATAAATAAACAGAGGATTCAGAACATTAGGAAGAATTGAATGTGCGGATTTTTGAGTGAAAAACTTATCGGACAAGGCGACTAATTTTCAGTCCCGGTTCAGGTACTTCATTGTTCCACGGACTACATTTAGCGGCCCGTCTTTTATGACGGAAATCGTCGCTGAATCTGGCGGACTGGATTACAAATCTCTTCAATGCACACACGCTCCAATGAATGAGCACGTCACGCTTCACTCCCGTGGCAGAAAATACATGATTTCCCCTGAGAGTCGAAGGAAGATGAATGGCGAATGCGTCCTGAAAAAGAACAATGAAATTTGCTCGATTGAAATCCCATATCGTCAGATACAGGATGCAATGTTGCAAGTAAGGATTGCATTATCAGGGACCATTTCAATGGAAAGGTATGGGGCATAAAATCACGACTCGATTTCCCCCCCCCCCCCCCCCCAAATCTTTTATGAGCTCAAGCAAGAGCTGGCGGAAACTGCCGGCCGTGGGGGGCTACATCTTGTTAAAAATTAAATAAGAGCACTGAAGATCCAATGGGGAGTCTAAAAATAATACGCAGACTTAGATCCGAGATTATGCTGCGAATTAAGAAGCAAAACTTATGACAATAAGCAGCATAAGTCGTGCTGCTCACAGCTTTATAGAGCACTTTGCTATCAAAGCAATAATTGGGGGTTTGAAAAATTAATAAGCTAGGCATGCTCAACCAATCTATTGGAACAATCGACACCTTCAACAAATCATTCTTTTCTGCAGACTAATGCGACGAGGGCTACGAAAACAATGATTTTTTTCTTTATAAGGAGCATGAAGCACAGTATTGTACTATCGGTTGCAGTTCTCCGGTGGATTCTGCAAAAGCGAATCAAATGCTGATGGTTCTCTGTTTCAGTTTCCTTTGCCGCTGTCTCTCCGACAACTGCTCAGCATGACTTCACGTACGAGCACAATGGTTCGTGCAGTCTCATTTACGAAAGACAGGAAGTTATTCGATGTCAAAGCGTGAGGGTTTCTCAGGAAAATTTGGAATTAATTGTACAGGTCAGAAATTTCTAGCACACTTGGATTTAAAAAAAAAATTATTTAAACAAATTTCAAAAGACATCACTTTCAGAGGTTAGAGGGAAACCTACTTCAAAAATACCCCATATTCCAGCACTTAAGAGAATACAATTGAAACGTGTTCAGCTCGATCCATTTCACTATTTTTACCAACCAGGGTAACGTGCTGTGAAATTTTGCAGGTACGGCGGATTGGCCATTGCAGTTCCCCATGTGTGGGGGCCCCAGTCAGTCTCCACTCGATTTGGGGAATGTCACGTTCGCCGACTTGGGGATTTTTCGTTTCCAGGGCTACGGTCTCTTGCCCACTAGCGTCAACGTCACCAACAATGGACAGACGGGTGAGCCATACAACATTCCAAAGTATGGTACACTGTTCCCCGCAACCAATTCCACATTGGTATCTCTAACTTGCAGACAAGAAGATTTATCTTGTCTAGTACTTATTCGGATATAATATGTCATGATGGAAGTTCGTCTCCGAAGGTAACAACCACTGCTCCATATCGCATCTCAAACGAGAGGTCAGGTTGATTTGAAGGGATGGGTTCAGTTGACATTTCACGGAAACCCTACGTTGAAACCATCTGCAACTTTTCCTCTGTGACTGCGTAATGACTTGGTCATCTTCCTCAACGAAACGTTTCATTGAAATCAATTCCAACTATTCCCATCAACTCCCCCCAGCTCACGTGACCCTGAAGACGAAAAATCCCCTGAAGCTATCCGGAGGAAGTTTACCTGGGGAGTACGTGTTCGACCAGCTCCACTTCCACTGGGGTTCCTCCCTCGACCGGGGATCCGAGCACACCATCGAAGGCACGAAGTGAGTCCTCCTAACTCCCGAGATTCAGTTGGTTTTCGATGGGAGCAGGGTTCGTAACTCCGCTTTGCATATCTGGTTGAACACAAAAAAACATGCCTTGGAAAACGGTTTTCATGAAAAGGATGACAAACTGCTGCAGTATTACCATGATTAGAAGCCAAGCGTCTTGAAATTACCAAGCAGGGACGAAAGCAGCTCAACGCTGTCACGACGTCGTACAATCTTCTAGATTCCCGATGGAGATGCACATGGTGCACTACAACGCCAAGTTCAAGAACGTGACAGAAGCGACTGCCTCTGGTGAACAGACTGCATTCGCAGTCCTCGGCTTCTTCTTCGAGGTAGCTGTTACCTAAGTATGGTATGATATTTGTATGATATTTGTATTCAAATTAGCTATGCCTTCTCAACGTACAGACTTTGAGAAGGCATAGCTAATTTGAATGAAGAACTTTGAACTTATATTCGATACAACGAAATAATCTGGACACCCCCTTGAAGCTCGTTGTAACGAGATTTGACCTTGATTTGAAGGTCATGCCCTATGGCGTATATACAAATTCAATTCTTAATGTCCTCATTCCATCGTCAGGACGAAATATGATGGATTAAACATGCGGATATCATCATCGTTCTAAACTCTCCTTTCGGGTTAGGTTACCCTGTACGAGTAAACGGTTCTTATGGGAAATATATATGAGCTTGTATATGGCCTGGACTCCATGAAACTGTTTCGAATATGGGGATTAAAAAAAAAAAAGATGAAATGTCCGCGTTTATTGATTCTTATAATGAGACTAGGCGAGACATATGACGAGGTACTAAATACTCCTGTGAGCGACGATTACAGAGAAAGAGGGAAGGGTACTTTTGTGTACTGCGGGAAAAGCCAGACCCACACCATCTAGTGGCCGGAAGGAGAACTTCAGCATTTCCCCCCAAAATATTATTGGATCACCACGGCCATTTTCGCGGCATGCACCTCTTAAAATGATACGCACGGTACTCATCAGGGCTTCAAAGCATTTGGAAAAGTTTTTACTAACCTTCAGTCGGATTGCATTTGTGCGTGAAACATCCATTTCCCGTCAAGTATCGACCCTTCCTCAGCCACAGGTAGTCACTGAAGTCACAGAAATGCCGACCTGTGGCCACACATACACTGGGATCTGATACGATTGTCATTATCGAGTTGTGTATCCCTGATGACCTAATCATTAGGTCCTGATGCAACAGTATTCTTCAAAGCATCCGCAAATATTTCCTCTCGCCTTCAATCGCATATTGCATATGTGCGAGGAACATCCAAGTCTGCCAAGGGTGCAAAAGTGTCCCGTACTACAAATGGTCTAACAACCGAACAGCCACAAAAACGCCGCTACATCCGCCGACCTATGGCCACACATGCGCTGCTGATTGGGGACTAACGAAGTCGTTTGAAGGTTGTCACAAGCAAATTCATTTCTCACACTTCCCATCGCCACGGCTAATTTTTTAAATTCAGAGTTGCCCATGTCGTCTCGGGAGAAAATTGGTTCCACCAATCGACGCGAGATGGCGCCCAACCGTCGAATCCCCCCTCACCCCTCACCCACCGAAAAAGCGAGAAGCGAGAGGGAACGAGATCCCTCTTCGCAGCTCCACCCGGGACCCGCGTCGGCAGTCCTCGCTCGAGTCGGGAAAGGACCCCAACGACCGAAACCAGAACCGAAAAGACGCGTCAGCGCTTCAGACCCGAGGAGGCAGACGCAGGAGGAGGCCTCAGCGCCTCTCAATCCCCACTCGTTATTACTTTAGGCATCATTCCACCCGCTTTTCTATTCACCACGGAGCTTTTACTCTCTTTATCTTATAGTTTGCTCTGCCGAATCGCATTGCACGGGCGTCCTCGCATTCTGGTGTGACGTCATCGATGGACGCAACCGCGTTTCCTCCCCATAAAAAACCAAGACCGATTCTTCTGCAATTTTTCACGCGGATCCATCGGATCCTCACCCAACCGCACTTGCCCCGGTACTTGCCCTGGTACTTGCCCCAGTACTTCCCACACGTCCCCGAAGGAAAATCCGGATTTCTCGAGGAGCAACAACGGCGACCCCGGCCGCTCCGGCCCCAGATAAGACACCGCACAGGAGCAAAACCCGGACGACAAAAAGCCGGCTCACCCATTCGCCCCCCGCAGCCGCTGCGCGCTCCGTCTCCGCGCTCCGTCGACGACCTCTAAAGTACCTCAATATTTAAAGGGCACATCATCTTCTATCATGCCTGCGTCGCATCTCCTCTTCGTCCGTGAGTTCCAAGTATTTCACTTATTTCGGACAGGCCTTCAGATATTTAAAAAAAAATCCTATTATATAACTTTTATTTTTAAATTTGTATCACTAGCTGAAACATCCCCGCGTATGAACAATTTTAGGAACTCAAGCGACAATTTCCTAAAGCCTCCGTGGACTTCTTAAAATCCTTCGTCCAAAGAAAAAACATCGTGGAGAAAGTTTTCTGGGCCGCGCGATTCTTCAGAATTCGCATTAAAGCTTAATTGACCACATCCACCAAGTGGAGCCGCAGAAGAAAAGGAGAATTCACTTAACCTCCAGGTTAATTAACCTTCAGGTTCGAACAGAAAGGTGAGGTGATTTCGCCTCAAGCTCCCTGCACTCTCAATCGACTAACCGTTACCTAAGCAACCCGTAACGTTACATCACACAGGAAAACCAGCCTTAAAAAAAATTAATGTGCAAATTTTAATTAACCACAGAATTAACCAGCGACTGAACGGCCGTCCCCGCGTGCAAAGAAGCGTGACTCGCCCATTTCGTTTCCAATTTTTTTTTCAAGTCCTTTCGTCCAGGACGAAAATGGGGGGGGGGGGGGGGGATTTTTGTGGAGCAAAATGTCCGTGTGTGCCAGGCACGCACGGACACGCACTCATTTCCTTCGATGGAAATTCGAGAGACAAGGTAAGTCATCCGCGGGCGACTGAATTTATTTGGAAATAAATTGGCAAAAAAAATTTTCTCATTAAGGGCATTGACCGATATTTTGGAGCGGCACGATTTAAAATTGAGGAATATTTTTTGGGAATAAGTAAACGGTTCTCGGTCGAGAACTTCGGGCCAATTCGTCCTGGAAATTCCTTCTCCATCTCCATGCGGCTGACGTCACGGTTCACTCCCGTGACGTCACGGATCAGCACGGGAAAAAATTGACATTACGTTAGTAATGTCGGTAATACTAACGTAATGTTGCTTAGGGATCGGACAATAATCAGGCCGCGAACATAATCAGCGATTCGCGAGAAAACCGACGCGATTCCCGCGGAATCGAGCTCAGGGTTCCGGCTCAGGGGTTCTGGCTCAGGGGTTCTGGCTGATAATCATCGATAAGACGCTCAAACAGAAGAAAGGAAGGAGATATTGCGTTTCTTCCGCGGATTTCCTTATCTTTCTTTTTGTTTTCGAAGCTTTCGTCGCGTTATTCCCGCGGGGAAAAAAATGACAGGGCTTCTTCGACAGGGGCATAAATCACTGTAAATAAATGATAAATAACCGCAATAAATAATCTGAATCCTGACACATCCTCGCAATAAATTACTACCATATCAACTTCATTTCCACGGAGTTCTTTGACACGAACTCACCGGACCATTTTCTGTTTCAGTTTCCCTGGCCCCTGTCTCCCTGGCTCAGCATCAGTTCACGTACGAGAGCGACGGTACGTCTCATCGCGGAACGTTCAGGGTTCATGCCCTTAAACCCTGCACGGTCGTTTTGGGTTCATGCCCTTAAACACTGCACGGTCGTTTTGGGTTCATGCCCTTAAACCATGCACGGTCGTTTTGGGTTCATGCCCTTAAACCCTGCACGGTCATTTTGGGGGATAGTACAGGGCCAAAAAAAAACGAAGCTGTCATTTTTGGCGAGTCGTCAATCACTTTGTAGGCAGGCAATTTTAATAAAAATTGGTAGAATTATAGGGTGACACAATTGGAGTTTGCATATAAAAAAACGAAATATAAAAAATATCGACAAGTAAAGAAAAAAAATGAACACTTACTTTTTTTGGTGATGAAATGTAAATTAAATGCCAATCTCAAAGTTTTTTTTAAAATATATATTTATTTACGCACAAACCCTAATCGAGTCTACCAAATTTCATGTTTAAAAAATTGCCAACCTAAAATCAGATTGACAACTTACCAAAAATGAAAGCTTTGATTTTTTTCTTGGCCCACTCTGTATAAATTATGGTTTATGTTTATGCTACCACGAGGATGATTGAGATCCTTCGATGCCAGCGGGAGTTTTCTAAGGCTGACGTCCTTTTCATATAAATCAGCAGAAAAAAATTCAAACTCAGGAAACAAATCAGAGCGAACCCGAAAAATATCAATAGGATTTCAGCCCTATTCTTGGAACTGGGAGAGGAAAAAAAAAAAGGGGAAATCATTGCACCTCCTTTTCATGCCACGCATCATGCCAGAATCGCGTTGTTAAACGCTCCCAACCGAAGCAATAGGGAAGAAGCCAACCACAGACAAGCAGTGCTTAATATGGGCTTAATATGGTCTTCATCCTTTATAGGGGGCCCCCTGACAGGCATCACATGGCTTCCAAATAGGGATATTTGAATTACAAAGAAATTACGATTCTCGAAAAAGTATATAAGTTACTTCTCAATTTTCAGACGACAATCGGCACCAGCCGATGGCTACGAGATGAAAATCGGCCATCGACCCATCCCAAAGTAAAGAAAGGTTTCAAAGTAAACAATAACCGGGGGAAGGGGGGGGGGGGGGGAACCGGGGGTTTCAATGCATCCCGCCATTTAACTCCAGGTCACGTGATAATCTGGCAGGTGCGGCGGATTGGCCGCTGCAGTTCCCGACCTGCGGTGGCCCCCGTCAGTCCCCGATCGATTTGAACGCAGTCACCATTACGGACTTGGGACTCTTCGAATTCCGCGGCTACGGCGTCCCCCCCGATGGAGCCGACGTCACCAACGACGGCCACACGAGTGAGGAGTTAAACATTCCGATAAATACTGCATCTCGCAATAGACGACTCCCACGATCAGCTCTTCCCAGCCCCAATAGGAATTTTTTTTCCCGCCCTCGAGATTCGGAACCAACTGACCCGATTCACCCCCTCTAGAATTTCCAGTACATTCACTTTCAGGGTGGAATTAATTTCCTGCAACCCCCCCCCCCATCCCATCTGCGTTACTCGTAACGTTACTCGTAAAATTCTTTTTCGACGATGCAAGCACGAGGGCCAAACTTTTCATTCAGGTTGGACAGCAGAAACTCAGCGTTGACCCCAGACGCAACCTTCTGCACGACTTCTCATTCTACAAG